GGAATTCTTTGACATTGTGAAGCCAGATATTTCAACTATGTTTATAATTCCCATTATCATCTTCAGTCACTGTTCAAAATATAAGTTCTTTTGGTCACGCTTTTTGTGCTGCTCACACCTTTACTTCCTATTCCCACTCCTGACCTCCCACTAGCGGAGAGTGCCACTGGGGCATTAGGGAGTGGTTTCAGATCTTCCATGAATGCTTTTAGCTACGTCTATTTTTTGGTATGGATATGTGACATTTTTCCAACCAGTGACACTCCTAAGTCCCTTCTGTTAATAGACATTCTGGCTACCACTATTCGCTTTTACAAATCTTTCCACTCTGCCTCCTGAGAATTTCTTGGTAACAGATTTCTCCTCCTTAACCTATTCACTGAACACTTTCCACCTGGATCTCCCCTGAGGACTCCTAACTGAATTCTAATTCTTCCATGAGCACGTTGCTTGCCACTGTCTGTATTGGAGGCTGCTCACTCTGCAATAGGCAATGTATCTGTAAGTCACAAATTAGGGTGTCTACCCACATTTCTATATTATTATCATTAATTTTTATTTTCATAAAAATCTTGGCTTCCTTGAGACTCCAGCCATTTGTGACCCACTCTCTGTTTGTTTGCTTTATTTTTCTGGACTCTTGTTTGGATGGGCAAGTAAATTAAACGAAGTTTTGTTGGTTCCCTACTGCAGGAGTTGGCAAACTTTTTCTGTAAAGGATCAGATAGCAAATATTTTTGTCTTTGCTGGACATATGATCTGTCACACTCTTCAATTCTGCTACTGTAGTGCAAAAGCAGCCACAGACAATAGTAAACAATTGGGCATGGCTGTGTACCAACCCTGGTCCAAGTAGTATATATGCCAGTAGATAGTACAGAGGTTTTACATACAATATCTCATCGAAAACTACAATGGCAATTCCCCTATAGAGTTGGGGTCATACACAAGAAAGTTAAGCAGCTGGCATAGTGACTGGCCTATTGTAGGTGCTTGATAAATGGCTGCCGTAAATGACAATAATTAATCTTAACTGACTCTGCAAGATGGATATGTTATGCACAAGGAAACACAGGCTCAGGGATGTTAAAATAACTTGAGGGAGTAAGTAAAAATACTAGGATTCAAAAGCCTTAATTACCTGCTCCGTTCTTTCCCAATGAATTAGGTTTTGATTGAGTTCGATTTAATTATAGAAATCTAGGTGAAATGAGTATAAGTTCCAGGAAATATGAATCTGGAGTTTAGAGCAGTAGGACTAGATTTAAATTTTCTGCAGAAACCTACCTTCTCCTTTTAGTTTCTTAATTAATGATCCTCATTAGGAGTTATTAGCACATCAAGAACATTAAAATAGCAATTAACCTTGGTAACTAAAGTAAACGCAAATACAATTTTTCTTTTGACAAACAAAAAAATGCTCTAACAATTCTTAATGCAGGCAGCAGGCATCAGTAAATAAACAATTAAACTGAGAACATGTCACTCAAGTCAACACGGAATTTGCTAACTTGCTGTTCTCTTTTAGGCATTAATCAGTTAATGGTTATTGCTATCACAGAATTGTTCACAACAATATTTAATGCTCTGGACCCAACTCAAAGAACTTTTTTACATAGACTGTACAAGGAAAAAATAACGATAATTAAGAGTCCCAGAGATTTCAGACATGCTCAGGCATATCTGCAGGATTGGAGAGGTGTGGCCAGCTGAGGTTTACTGGCGCTAGGATTTAGTAATTTCAGGGATGGAACAATGACTAGAAATATGAAGGCTAAAAATTGGTGGAGACAACACTCCTGAAAAGTGCTGCTTAATTATTTGATTCACCAAGAAATATTCAGAGTATTACTACCATTCTAGGTACCAGGGATAGTGAATAAAATAGTTTCTGCCCTTATGGAGCTGCCATGATGGTAGGGGAGATAAAGAGTAACAAATAAATAGACAACGAATGTCTGTAACCAGAATATGGAGAAAATTTAAAATAGGGCAAGATGATATGAATATTGTTTTAAATAGAGTAGACAGGGAACACTGAATTAGCAAACACTAAGCCATTGCACCTAGGGGAAATAAAGTTTCCAGAGAGCCTCTGTTCGCATTTGTGTCAACCAATCAACATATAAACTTGTTTTACGTGTTTCTGTTTAGACAACTTGTTTCATATATATCATCGACTCATTAAACATTGAACACATGGCAACAGCACTATAAATCATGCCCGAACACAGCTTATCTAACACACATTTTCTCCGTAAGGCAGTAATTTTACCTTCGTCCAGTCTGCCCAAGTGTTAGTGCTAAGGCTTTCCTTTCTGTATCATCACTGCCCTCTGGGTGTCAAGGTCACCATGGCTTATATCCTGGAAAACTAAAAAGGGGCAGTTGTTTACATGGACAATATGGTTAGGTTTTCAAGTCTCAGGACACAGGCTTACATTCTTTTAGCCAAGAGCCACAGCTATGTGTAGGCTGCTGTCAATAGACGAACCACACCCCTCAATGACCAGACACACAGCTAATGTGACTACTTCACTGGACTTGACATGACTGCGTGTTGTGCGCTATTGAATGGCAATCAATTATCTGTAGGCATTTGCCCTCATGTAGCTCCCTGGCACTGGCCCCTGAAAGTGCTGGGCAATTCTCCCAATGTTGATCCTTGCTTCATTTCTCTGTTTTAGCCAAGTGATGTCCTCCCTAACCCCCAGTTCAGGTGACCCACCTTTGGATTTGGGAGTTGGGGAGGACGTTATTTGGCAAGAGAGAGGAGATTGGTGGTACCATGTAATGGAATGAAGTAGCTTAAAAAGGAATAGTTTTGGGGGAGGTGAAAAGCAGGGAGGGAATTAAGAGTTGTGTTTTGAACATGTAAAGTGTGAGATGCCATTTAGATACTGGAGGTAGTTTGATGGTTGAATCCATAGTTCAGGGAAATCTGGGGCAAGTGAGGTAAATTTGGGAGTGAACAACATATAGACAGCATTAACATCATTGAGATGAATGACATCACCTAAGGTTAAAGAACAGGATAAACCTGGAACAACAAAAAGGGGTGAAATGTGTTTTCTATTGATCCTCTTTGAGACAGTTTCTAGTATTTGCTTCATTCATTTCTCCTTTTCTGTGTGAAAGGAACCATAAAACTAGGAGAAACTTTGAATGGATTTTAAAGTTATAAGCATCAAATCCCAATTTTTTTTTTTTTTTTTTGGTCAGGGCATATAAAACAAGACTGTCTATTGAATTCAGATTTAATATAAGCTAGAAATTATTACCTTTGAGATTTGTAGGCAGTCTGATTCTTATGTATTATAGCATCTTTGATCTGAATATTGAACTGTTTTAGGAGGGGAAAACTTAAAAAGGAGAGTCCCTACTTTATACTCTTTGAAGCGTGGATGAAGCTGGAAAAATTTTAGGCCTGGGATAGCAACATTCTAGCTCATCAAAGAGGTGTTTGGAAAATTCAAACTCTCCAGGCAAGAGTTGTATCCAAGGGAATAGATCCATGAGGAATGGGAAGATATATTTATATATTAAATATATATTTAATACTATTTAATAATATATTAATTTTTAAGTGGTGAGAGTGGCCTTGTGGTTACATTTTTAAAAAAGTTATCTTTTGGAGCTACATGTTGAAATATTTACAGAAAAATGAAATGTCAAGTATTTACTTGGGGAGGAGTGGAAAGTGGGTATGGGGTTACATGAAACAAGATTAGCTATGAGTTGAAGCTGGCTGATGGATACAAGAGTTCATTATACTATTTTTGTTTATGCTTATACTTTTTATTGTGTGCTAGAATAAAATGTTTTAAAACAATTAATCTTTGGAATAAAGAATACATGTATTTCTTGACCTGTAGTCAAGATGATTTTCTATGATGTAATAAATACCAAAACTGAAGTCCACTAAAAGGAGTTTGGAGGAAGCAGGTAAGAGTTGAACTTAGGTCAGGATAGCAACATTTCTGAGTGGGAAAACTAGGAACATATGTAGATGAATGGCTATATTTGGAGTTGTTAGATGCTAAAGTGGTATTCAATTTACCACAGACATTGATCCCTAATAGTGGAAAAAGACTGAGGGTGGAGGACTGCGGCCTTCCACTTAAAAGACTGCAGGGAGCCCATAAAAGCCAGCCATGGGTAGCAGGCCTTGTGTCTCAGATATTCATAGATTATCTTCCTGCTTACTCTCTCTGCCATTATTTGTTTTTCTCCTTCTGCTAATCCCTACTCTTCTTTATGATTTAGGACTGCTTTCTGGATCACTTACTCTCCTCTGACTCAAGACTAAGAGCTTTGTGTCAGTCTTTTCTACCCCTAGTCCATGTTTGGCTTGTAGGCTTAGAAAAAAAAAGCTGGATGAAAAATGCGCTGAGTAACTCCACAAGACTCTAGATGAGCCCATTCTGATAACACTGAGACAAAAGTCCCCAGCCAGATAAGTTACTGGAATGGAGTACAAAGAGAAGAATGTGCTAATGCTCTCTGTGGAGAAGTGGAATGCACTGGGTCCTTTAGATATCATATGAATAAAACAGATCTAGTGTTTGTTGATGTCATTCTTACTTGAAACTCTTTCTAAAAGAATAACTAAGGGTATCCACAGGTGAGAAACACCAGGACTTCAAATTCTGTTTTCAAAAATTGATGAGTGAGGGGCTGGAACCAAATAACTCCAGTTTACAACATGTAGGTTTACAACATGCAGATAGATCGGAAGTGAAAAGCATGCTCAGATTTTCATGCTGTAAAAGCTATCCTAGGGAGTCTGAAGCAAGTTATTGTTTGAGAAAATGAAGAGCTATGAATTTAGTAGTTTCTCCTCTATACCTAATTATAAAATCACCAAAATTGAGATTGGGAGACTCCAGGTGAGTCAACAAACTTCACTGGGCTTTAAATTCCCCATCTATCAAATGTAATAATCACAACACATGATCTTTAAAAGTTCCCCTCTGCTCCAAACTTATGATTCCATGAAATACTTAAAACTTTTTATTATGGAAAATTTCAAAAAGGAATAAAAATTAAGTAAACATAAGGAGCCTTCAAGTACCAATCACTCTACTTCAACATACATCCAATTTTGTTTTACCTAAACCTCTACTTACTCACCCTCCCATCCCCACTGCATTATTTTGAAGTAAATCCTAGACATCATATGAAATACATTTTAATGAATTCTCTTAGAGCAAAGACAGTCTACAAATAACAAATCAGGTAAAGTCAGTCTTTCTACTTTTCTTGGATACCTTCTCTCACTGCCATTGTAAACAGTATCATTAAACTCAGCTTTATAGAATGTTAAGTATCATATGCTAAACCCAGTTTTATTCATTAAATAAACAGCTACCATTAATGAGCACTTGCTATCTTCCAGGTATTACAGTATTGTATTAGTTATCCATTGCTGTGTAACAAATGATCCTCAAAATTTGCAGCTGGAAACAAGAAATATTTATTATTTCATAGTTTCTGTGAATAAACAACCCAGGAGCAGTTGTTTATTCTGGCTCGAATCTGTCAGGAGTGCTGTAACTGAGGTGCTGGCTACGGCTGCAGTCATCTCAAGGTTCTACTTGGCTAGGATCCAATTCTGAACTGACTCACACAGTTGCAGATGACATGGTAGCTGGCTTCCCCCAGAGTAAGCACCCAAGAGGACGAGAGGGAGAATCCAAGACCAAAGCCACAGTCTTTTGTTGGAGAAATCTCATCATTTCTGATGTATTCTGTGAGTTAGAAGCCACTCAATAACTCCACCCCATACTCAATGGAAGAGGATTACACAAGGGCATAAACCAGGAGGCAGGGATCATTGTAAGCTACAATGAGAGGCTACTTAGTGCTAAGTTCTGATTACTGAACTTGTTTGTTTGATAGTTATAGTTTATTATAAATTAACAAATGATCTTAATTCTTATAAATATAATTCTACTCAATTTACATATGCAGAGAATTAAGTCTTGCCTAAGGATGGAGAAGAAAGTGAGAGAAACATAGACTGATTTATTTCAGTCATTCATCAAGTATTTTTTGAGACCCTATTATATACTGGTTATTCTGCTAGGTACTGGGGATCCGGAAGAGAACATGACATGTAAATACACATGTGACACATGTGAACCCTGCTCTCACAGGGCTTACAATCTAGTATGGAATTCGGACATTAAGAAATTACAGAAATATTAATTACAATCAGATTAAACTGTTAGATTTATAATACTTTTGTTATACATGTAATTGAACAAAAGTTAAAAAGTATAGAAGTATAAAGTATAAAGGTCTTCGAATATTCCTATGAAAAGCAATGCTTAGACGTTTTTGAAGAGAACACATAAGATGAAAATCTTGTCATGCTGCAGCACTGTTGATGGCTGTCAAAAATATCTTAAGAAAATTTTCAACATTTCCATTCAACTCTTTTTCATTGCTGATCCACAGAAAAGTGCAGTGACCATGCTCAGATGTCTGTATTTCCCTCTTCAATGGGCTGAGTGATTCTTCTATGCATTCTTATATCTATATGACTCAACTGAAACTGATACTATAGTGATTATGACAATTATTTTGTTATTGGGCTCTCCAACTTTCTCTCCACTTTTTAGAGTCAAAGATTTATGTTAAACTTTAAAATGAACTAATTTCAGCCCTGGGCACATAAAAATGCAGTTGAGAAGGCTGTTGAATCAAGGACTTTGAGACCTACGAACAGCTGCCTTAAACAAAAAATTAGGCCCAAAACATACAAGTGCACTCTGTGAAATTTTGGGTAGAAAATAGCAATGAAAATCTATAGGACAATTAACATAGTGAAAATAATTAAAGAGATTCTTAAATCTTACCTTGCAAATTGAGAAAAATCTGTTAATCAAATGGAAGAGATATATTGGCTTCTTTTATTTTCATTTCTGTGGGTGCAAAAATCCGGGAAAAGAGGAAAAAACTCTTAATCTATGAATATTAATGAAATGTACCCATTAAGAAATCTTGTCTATAGTAAATGTTTTGAAATTACTAATTAATTTGCCTTTGAGAGAGAGAAGACAAGAAGTCCACAAGCTAAATTTCTAAGTATTAAACTTCTGTCTAGATTGTTAGACTGGTTTCCAATAAGCTCAAATTGACTCCAAAGTATTGCTAAATAAGCCTATTTCTATTGCTGTGCATTTCTACTGAATCGACTGACTGCTAATGTGGTTAGAAAAAGTTTCTCCTGTTGACTACCAAATTCAAATTATCCATATATACAAATAAACTTCAGAAGTAAATTTATAACAGGGTCCTCATGATTTAGCTTTAATCTCATACTTTTTGGCAAAAATACAGATTGAATGAGAGAGTAATTCTCAGGAACATGGTCATTATATATGTGAATATTCATTAGATATGCACAAATCTTACCAGTTATAATTTTGACCTGCCATGGAATCTGTGAAGTCACTCGCCAATTTTTTTTGGGGGGGGTGGAGGAGAAAGGAGATAAAAGTTCTCCTAATTTTTTCAAACAATTTGCTTCTTCTCGAATAAGTAGTTGTTATTCTTCCTCATTATAGCTTCAAACAGTTGTCAAAAATATCTCGCAAAATCTGCATTAATGGGAAATGACAATGCATACGTCCGTGTAGATAAAGACTACACTTACTTAAGAGGCAGGAGAGCACTGATTATTTGAACACAGTTTTTCCACATTCGTAGTTTCCATTCCGAAATCTCGGGCGAGGTAGCGACGCGAAGCCTGTTCAAGGACTCTCATGGGGAGCTGCAGGCGGGAAGGGACTTCGGGCAGCGCCAGTTTGCGGATCTCTCTCCGGCCTCAGAGGCCCACAGTCATGCGTGAGAATTCCGACTCCAACCTCGGAAAGAAACTTCTCGTCCAGAAACCTGCATCCCTCCAGGCACTCTCCTCAGTGACTTTGGGCGATTCGGTGTCACTTTTCCCGTTTTTGAAAAGTCCGAGGAGCAGCCGCCACCTGCCTGAGGCCAAGGCAGTAAAGCCCCCAGTACACAGTGAGTCTGGGCCCCGCAGGGCGGGGTGCAGAGCAGCGCCCTGGGCCCCTTCTTCCTAGCTGTTTCTGCTCGGGACCCGCCGCCTGGACGCGAAGGAAGGGCTCGCAGGCTGGCGGGGTTGGTACCCCGCGCGCGCAGGAGTCCCCTCGGCTGGCGAGGGGGAGCGGTGACCGCGCGGC